TTTTTTTTTTGTTTTCGAAAATTCATTTTTGAAAATGGGAAAGAGAACGCATTTTCATCATTTTGAAAAATCGAAAATAGAAAACGGCCCGAAAACGATAAAGAGAACAGGCCCTTAGTTATTAAAAATTTTGCTGCAATTTTGGTTTAAACTTTTAGTATTTTATTGTTTTGACAATTTTTTCAATGTTAATTTTGATCTACAATTTTTTCTCTTGTCCATTCTATTAATTTCATGACACATATGATCGAGAACCTCATATATATCTAAGTAAAACTTGACGATTTAACTTTTAGCCTATGTTTGGCTCCTAGTTTTTTCCCAAACTCATTTGTTTTAACCTCCTATTCTTCTATAAAATGATTTTAAACGTAAATCAAAAACTTGTAATTACTTTTTAACTATACATTTTTCAAAAAATCACCTTCAAAAATGTAATTTCTTACAAAAATGTGGTGGAGACAAGGGCTTAAAGTCATTGATTTCAATATTTAACCTTGCTTGTTCACAATGTCTCGTATCTGGTAGGAAGATATGGTAAATCAAGTAGATCGTGATGTCGAATTTGAGAAAAGCACAAGTCATTAATTATTCCTTTTTTTTTTATAACACATGTTGGCAACTTGAGTCAAAAACATTGAACAAGAAAAAGAACTCTTTTACTTTTTGTTGGTATAATTTTTTTTTAAGTCAATTTTGACAACGCGTCTATTTTATCATGAAACTACTTTCCCATTATTTGAAGCAATCAACTCAGCTCCTTAAGTTGAAGTGAGATCTTCTCAGTTTTAATAAATGTACAGAAACTTATAGGTAGAATTTTCTTGAATCATATTTCTTGCATTATTTTCCAAAAATCTGAAAAATATAGGAAGATTTTTAATCTTAAATTGATTTTCTATTTTGAATTACGGAAAATTGACTAATTCTTTCTGAGAAAGTTCCTCTTTAGTCTTTACTCTTTAGAATTATGATGTGTTATAATTATGAATTTACTGTAAAGAAATTAATAAATTTTGCTATAAAACATTTACAAACTAATTTTATAAATTATATTTCATAATTTATGAATTATTCTGTCTGGTGGAGATTAAAAATTTTGATTTTTATATAAGTTAAAGTTAATAATTAATTTTAACAGCATGCTAACAATTGATTTTAACGATATATTTCATGAAATTTACAACTTTTTCAATCAGGGACGACGACTGCTGTAGTGAGCGACTGTAAATTGCATTATTCTAAATTATAAATGGAATTAAATTAATCACGAATCATATTGTATGTACAACTATGATTGACAGTTTTTGTTGACAATCATGATTTGGCAAAATCTGCACTATTCACTTTAAAAAGTTGTTTTTTAAAGGGAAAATATCATTAGTAAGACATGAAGTATGACCTATTTCAAATCTAACAAATAATGTTTACTATTCAAAAAATCAGATATCAATTAAATTTTATTTATTAAATAATTAATTAAAATTAGTTTATTAATTAAATATATTAAGGTCACAATATTATATAATTTATGATCATAGTTATTTATTAGTCTCAATTACAGATGTCAAGTCACAAATCTCACAAAATATCAAATAGTTGACCACAAATTATTTTTAGGTAAGAAATTATCCGATTATTGGTCACAATTGAACAAATTTTTAGGTCACTAATTATTTATTAATAACAAATTATCTATTTCATCGGCCGCATATTATTCATTGGTGACAATCATCAAAACAATTTGTGACTATCACCATCTCACCACTGCCTCCAGTAGCACCACCATCAACGACGATGATGACAACCAACACTACCACCAAATACCAACACGATGACTACACTACCACGTACAAATAAATGAGTGTTTTACCCAAGTACTAAAAACCTCCAAAAACCTTCTTCCCACACCAGATCTATCACCAAAGACCCACCCCGAATCGACCAAAATGCCATCCAAATCGAAAATATATACCGTATCTGCCAACATTGATGGCACCACCACCCAATTCGTCCTAGCATCCAACTCCATCTATCCGATCTTTTCATCTTAAAGGTTTTCCTTGATGCACGAAACTTGCTCGACAAGTGCCAATGTGCGACATCCGTGCACGACTGCTACGTTCAGTGGCATGAGCACCTTGTAGCAACGTCGCTCATGCCACTAAATCGGGCTCATCGCCGCAGTGGAACTCCCATATATATATATGTGAGAGAGAGAGAGAGAGAGAATTTTTTAGGGTTTGACGGATGGATGAGGTGAATAGATAAATTAATTTAATTTTATAATATTATCATTTAAAATTAAAAATTTAATTTATGATCTGATTTTTGTATAAAAAACTTTAAATTCTATTTTTTAAAATGGATCTTAAAAGGTAGGGTATGATGTAATTTTCACCTTTTTAATTCAATCAAACAGATCTTGACGATACATGGATTGTCAACAATCATTATATAAAGGATCTTGCTATTTGTATATCAAAACTTATATAACAAATTTTGTAATATTCACATGGTACTCTATTATTTACTAGTTTAAAATACAATCAACTTTTTCATACAATCTTTTCCCTTTATATCATTTTCGATAATCGCATATATACCATTTTTATGTACAAATAGCAAAATCCTTGTACAAATAGCTTTAACTTCACATAGATTAAAACTATAAGAATAATGTTATATGTACACATTGAGGTGTACACACAGCCTTACATCTTCACTCATACAAAGGAGGCCCACACACAACTTGTGTGTGGACCCCCCTCCATGTAAGGGAAGTGTAAGGTCATGTGTAAACGATTATATACACGTAATATTGTCTAAATTGTAATCTCAATAAGGCTAAGGATCTTACTAAATGTACATTAAGATTTATATAATAGATTACATAATACCGTATGACACTATACTGTTTGCTAATTTAAAATATAATTAAAATTTTTTGTTCAATAATGTCCCTCCACATCATATTATGTAATTCATTATGCATATTTTTAGGATCTTGCTACATTTACGTAATGAATTATATAATAACATATAACACTCTACTATTTCTCGATTTAAAATATAATTAATTTTTTTATGGGTAATTGGCACAAAACATTCCTACCTTTTAAGTCTATTGTGGAAAACATCCATACCTTTCATTTTTTTTGACATTTTTGCCCTCATATCAACCTTTCTTTGCGCTGGACATCCTTTCGTCCTCATTCCGTCAATTTTTCCGTTAATTAAATATAAAAATGCATTTTCTTTCAATAAATAAGGGTAAAATTGTCCTCACCCATTTCACCCCTTTATTCAACCCTTTCAATAAACAAGGGTAAAATGGAACAACAGCTGAAGAAAGCTGAGACTACCCAAAGGTGTAAAATGGAAAATGAGAAAGCAACACGGGAATTAGAGGTTTGCTTTTTCTCTCTACTTCAATTAATTGTCATTTTGTATGACTTTTAGAATTTTAAAAGCATGTAACATCAACTTTGTAGGCAGAGGCAATTAGAAAAATACTTGGTCAAGATACTAGTAGGAAGAAGGGAGAAGATAAAGTGAAGAAGCACCAGGAGTTGGCACTGGTACTGTGTTTCTTCTCGAGCCCTCTATTTGAGTATTGTTATTAAACTAGCTACTAATAATTTTTTTTTTCTTTTTTGGAACAACAAATACAGGAGAAGGCAGCCAATGCTCAAATGCTAGCATCAAGCACCATTAAATGGGTCATAGGCCCTATTGAGACCACTGTCACTTTCCTGAAAGATATGGATTTTCCCAAATTCAGTCGCGAATTGTTTTGTGTATAAACAAGAGGAAAATAGAAGAAAACAGAAACTTTTTTCGCCAAGATTTTGAAAGGTTGGGACGTTATTCGCAATTTTTTTAAAAAGGTAGGGACGTTTATCACCAATACATTTTAAAGGTAGGGATGTTTTCAAAGAAATTATAACAATGCAGGGACTATTATCACAAGGTTAATTCAATTCTTATAATAAGTGAATAGGACCAGTTCATCTTCTCCATTGAGCCAAAATGAGCCATTCACCATTAAAATGTAATACGTACGTCATAGCACCCATTTCCACTTGTTCTTCTCAATTTACCTAGTGGGTTTCACCTTTAATAAGCATATACTATAAGTGAATATCTAGCATTAATCTTTATAAATTGATTACCCATTTAATATATCTTTCTAAATTTTTCCAGTAACACAAGATGACAGCAACAGTAGCTGTGGAATTGTGAAATATAATGTGTTTACGATATTTTTTCTTTATTTAACATAATCATTTAAAGTATTTTCATATTCATGTTGTTGCTACTGTTACTTATGGACTAAGTTGATGGGGGAAAAAGGGATGAAGTGGGTGAGGACAATTTTACCCTTATTTATGGAAAGAAAATGGTATTTTTGTATTTAATCAACGGAAAAATTGACGGAATGTGGACGGAAGGACGTCCAATACAAAGAAAGGTTGAAATGAGGGCAAAAATGTCAAAAAAATAAAAGGAAGGGATGTTTTCCACAATAGACTTGAAAGGTAGGGACGTTTTGTGCCAATTACCCATTTTTTTATCTCTCCACATCATATTATGTAATGTATTATATATTTTTTATGTACAAATAGTAAAGTTTTAAAGCTATGATCTTGTTACATATATATCAAGATCTATAAAATGGATTATATAATACCACATAAGACTCTACTATTAGTCAATTTAAAATATAATCAAAATTTACATAAACGAATACATATTACTCTTATTTTAATACCACCAAACGGGGGATGGCAAGTAGTCAACATCGAGTTACACAGATGTGTGGTTGAAGATTTTACACAGAGCAACCATCATGCAAAAAGTCAATTAACTTCACGGTAATCTCAAGTCAGTCCACTTCAAAATCACTACTCTCTTTCCGGAAATTGCATAGCAATTGAAAGGAAAGAGATCAAAGCAAAGAAGAAAGGTCAAGAAACACTCGTTTTTAGACAAACAACTCCATTATCTTGACCAAAATCCCAGTCTTTGAACTGGGTTCTTGGATTTTTTCACTCTTTTGAAATACAAAAACTCGCACAAAAAACTCCGAAATTATGATAAAAAAACTCAGTTCTTGAATTGGGTTCTGGAGAGTTGATAGAAACAAAGTTTTTGAATTGGGTTCTTGATATTTTTCAGTTTAAATCAAAGATATATCCTTTTATTTTATTTTATTTTTTTGGCTATGTCTGTGGAATCAAGCGCTGGTTCTGGTGATCGTGGTGTACATAATTTTCAAGGAGTGCCCACTTATGGTGGAAAATATGTGAAATACAGTTTGTATGGGAATCTATTCGAAGTTTCTAAAAAGTATGTTCCCATAAGGCCCGTGGGTCGCGGAGCTTATGGCCTTGTTTGGTAAGGATCCAAGAATATCTTTCATATTTTCATGAAAATTTGAGATTTCCTGTCTATTATGGTTATTGAAATGCATTAGTATTTGTGTTTATGGTCGCAATTGGGATTAAAAGAGTCTTGGTGTTTATATTAGTTATTTAATGCTTTTTTTTTTTTTGGATGATATGCTGAAGAGATAATAGAAATGTCAACAATTTCACAGAGATTTGATGTTTATGGCTCAAGATTGTTCGAACTGATTCTTATTTGTAGTCGAATGAGTTTTGATCTATATATATGGTTTGAAGAGGTAATTGAAATATAAATGTTTTAAAAAGCTTTCATGTTTATGGCTCGTAAATGTTCAAACTAGTTGTTGATTGGAGCCAAATGAATCAGGATTAAAAGTCTTAAATCCCGTGAAATGTGTGGTTAAAAATTTGGTTTCTCCATTCATGAACTTCATAACCCGTCCATGGAGCTATGTTATTTATTAAAAACAAGGATGTTCTAATGTTCATGCCGGTATTCTCATGAATAGTAATAAAGGATTAAACTACACTGGACAGCATTTACCGTGTAGCTGTCTATTCATCAGCTTGCTATTCAGAGCTATAAGTGGTCCTAAATGAGAAAGAAAAATTAAAGTCTTTTTATTGTACTATCTACTACAATTTAATACTACATGCCGAATACACATCATAGGTTTTTCTAAATTTATGTAGTCTATGCCAGTTGGTTCTTAAATTGTCAGATACCTTATTTCATTGAGGAGGTTGTTCAATTTGTGTGTATAAAAACATAGTGTATCATCGACATGCGAATCATAAGGTCTTGTTATGAAAGGGAAGAGGAAGATCAGAGCAACATAGGCAGTGGAGGAAGAAGATGCAGCCAACCGTTAGTCAGGAGACGGCATTGTTTTGCTTAATGAATATTTGTTAAAGTGGAAATGCGTTTTCTTAAGTTTTCTTCCTTCTCACGGTTTTAATTTGTTTTCACTCTTTTTGTCTTTTATAACAATCTGTGGAAGAGAGGGGAAGGCAGCGAATGATTATTGTGAGAAAAATCCCTTTCTCTCTGAACTCTCTCTCTAGACTCTTTCTTCTTCTTATCTGTTTCTTATCTTCTTCATTCCTTCTTAGTTGCTGTAGTCAACTTGGTTATTGCCATTAATACACTAAGTGTGGAATTTCCTTTTCAACTTTTGTGTTATTGTTTCTGGAATTGTTGGTTTTTGGTTGAGATTCAAACTCAACCATTACAGGTTTCTATGTTTAAACTTGTTTTCCACCCTGATTTATATATGGCACGAAGGAAACATGTGTCTTCCTTTTTTTTTCAGCGCTGCTGTAAACTCAGAGACACATGAGGAAGTGGCCATTAAAAAGATCGGCAATGCATTTGACAATAGGATAGATGCCAAGAGGACGCTAAGGGAAATAAAACTTCTGTGCCACATGGATCATGATAATGTAATTATTGCTTCCTATCATTTTCCAGATACTAAATCTTTAAGAAATTCATTGCTTTAGTCACTCTTTGTTCTGCATTTTTGGTGGAGTTTCATGTACCATCAAAAAGGTTTTTGTTTGTTGAATTGCTATCTTATTGCTCAATTTTGCTACCTCAACAGGTGATTGCAATTAAAGACATTATCCGGCCTCCACAAAAGGAGAACTTTAACGATGTCTACATAGTTTCTGAACTAATGGACACCGATCTTCATCAGATTATCCGATCCAACCAACCATTGACTGCTGATCATTGTCAGGTTTGGCCTCTCTTTATTGTAACAAATAGAACATTCTGTCTCTTGTATCGTTGCCACAGATTGTTAACATCTGTTGTTGCTCAGTATTATTATTTATTGTTGCTGTTTAAGAAAAAAACACTTGTTCTATTATTATTATTATTTATTTATTTTTATTTTTTTATAAGAACTCCCTGGAAATGCTTCTATGACTTCGAGCGTGTTTGGCTAACCTTAAAATTTTAAAATAAGTAGCTTTTTACTGTTGAAAATTAGAAATAAGTAAGTTACCTATTTTGAGGCGAGATATGAGTTAATATCAAAATAGTTACTTCTTTTACTTAAAAATAAGAAAAACTTTACAAACTTTGGAAACAAAGAGCATGTTTGGCCCAGCTTATTGTTCTGCAGTTGTTGTGATTTAAGTTTGGCTATAGTACTTATTACACTTTGGCATCTGTACGTTTACAACTAATGCTATGCAGAAAATGTACTCTCCGTATAAAAGTGTGTCACCACCAAGTTTCTAAACTGT